ATACCCATCCCGCAGCCTACATTATAACCAATTAAAGTCCTTCTTGATCCTTGACTAAATGAGCTCAATTAGTAGAGTAGTACACTACGAGCAAGCCTATGGTGCATCTTTTATGGCATATGAATGTTATTTCTTAGAGTGAGTTAATTCTTTCTATCTTAAGTTCCTAATTGTTCTTAATTTCTATTGTGTGTGGAATTACTCTCGGTTGTTGTGTGGGGGTACTTAATTCAGGAAGAAAAGGTAATGTCATTGACCTCTATGTTAGAGTAACAGAGCGGGTTTATAAATAATGCGTGGTGCTTGTGAGTCAAATCTTGAGGCTAGGATGTTACACTATTGTGCTTAGTCTATTTTAAATATTTTTAGTATGATGAGTTATGAAAGTTGTTTAAAAAGGTTATGTCATTATAAAGTGTAGTTTGATTGCTCGAGGAAGAACAATGGTTTAAGTGTGGGGTGTTGATGGTAGGCTATAATCTTGTATTTTAGTCGCTTATTACACTCTAATTTACTACATTTCAATTGAGTTTGAGCTTTAATTGCTAGTGTTTTGCACTAAATATGTGTTTTATGCCTTGTAGGAGTGATTCCGAGCTATGTAGATGTTTTGGAATGAATTCGAGCTATTCTGGAGCTTTGAAATCTAAGTAAAAGCCCAAGGATTAAGTTGGGGTCGTGTTCGGGGATCAACGGGCAATAGTACACTTAACGAGAGAAACAAATAGCGAGCAAGAGGTCACCTAGATGCGCGATCGCGCACTGGGCGTGCAAGTAGAGTAATACACTGTCCAAAGTGCGCGGCTATATGCGCGAGCGCACCTCCAGGTGCGCGGCCGCGCATGTCCAATCCCGGAATTGTCCTATTTCGCGTTGGAAAATGAGTTTTCATTTGGGCCCGATCCTAATTGGTATATATACATGGAACGGTATTTTCTGGACTTTTTAACACATCTAAGACCTAAGGAGGCTAAGGAGGAGTTGGAGAAGCAAAAGTACAAGGAGTTCATCATTCAATCTTCACTCAAGACACGAGTTTGGATCGTTTTATGTTTTCCTTTACTTTAAACATATTTGTGATGAATTACTCCATATCTATGGAGTAGTTCTCTTTAGGGTTTGATAGATTTGGTGTATTGATATTTGTTTGTGGATTATAACTCTAGTTTTTTATGTATTGAATCGTTTTGGATGATTTAATTGTTGTATCTATATTCACATGTTCATGAAATCGAGAGAGGCATAACTTGTGATGTCGTTGCATTATCTTGTTGGTTGAGTTCATTAATTCTTCTTAGTAATCGAAAAAGGCTAGTTGAATTATTGTTTAACCCTAGTTAGGAAGATAATCTAGAGAGGTTCTCCTAAAGACCAATCCACTACGAATTCTTGCATATCTTCACTGAGTTTAAATTGGTTCATATTGTGAGATTGAGACTTAATCAAGAGAGGAGTTTCTACTAAACGTTTGAACTAATAAATGAGTGAATTCGAGAGACTCACTTGAACATTAGAAGTGAATTAACTAGAGTTAAATCCCAAACATTTATCTTGCGCCTATCCAATCAATCCTTATTTTTCTCCCATTGATATCTTCCCTGCTTACTTTTGTTCGAGTGTCATTCGTCAATAAGTTAGACTCTTAGTTAATTTTAGTTTTAATTATATAAATCTCAATTGTTTATCATCTTGGATAGCAATCAAGGTATAAACTACGAAAATACTGTTTAACTCTAATTCTTATGAATACGATATTATATTATACTATATTTAACTAGTGAGCATATATAGACTCCTTTTGAAGAATTTTAAGAATTGGAGGGAGATAAAAAGATATTGATTTTGACCACGGTTTGCATATGGGTTTCTTTCATATTTGGGGAATTTTGTTGAGTTAGAAACTGATCATTGGCAGGTGGATTATAATGGAGATTTCGTGACCAAGAAAATGAAGAAATTGGAGGAAACATTCATAGCCTTCTAAATAGCCCTATTGATAATTACTGGAGCATCAACTACCGGAGCTAATCTAGACCCATAAGGAAAGAGGAGCAGAGAGGAGAGAAAAAAAAAGGAAAAATGGTGTACCTAAATTTTTTAATTTAAGACACTAATAATAGATTGTATATAAATTATAAAATAAATATAATTAGGTCGGCTAATATACAAATCTAGAATAATTTTAATAAATAAATTTTAAATATTAATAGAAATGAAAACATCACTTCCTACAACAATCTCGAAAAGGAGTCCATCTAAAAGAGCCCGTTACAAATAGGCCCAATAAAATTGTTTACGGAGAAGTTGAGGATCCCGTCAAATCACGTGTTTGTCACAGCGTGTAGTCGGAAATGGAATCTCCAGTTTCCGCTGTCATTCTTCCTCCGGCGGAATCTCCGATTATGTATCTTCTCATCTCCGGTAAGCTCGCTTTGTCTCTTCACAGTCTATTTTGTTTTACCTATTTGTCACGAGAATTGAAATCCTTGCTCGTTATCAATTGGCAGTTGAAATTGCACTGTCCAAACTAGTGGAATATGTCATTTTCCAAACTTCTACAAATTTTATTTCTTCTCCATTAGCAAATTTAGATTTACCATGGACTCATAGTTATTGCTTGAAATAAATTTGAGCGTTCAATGAGCAACTCTGTGTGTGTGTGCGCAGCACACTTGCCAGTAACTTTGCCAACAAAATCTTAGACATCTGGGAAGAAAAATCACCTAGTGTTTTTGCATCTGTTGGAATTTTCTGCTACTATTTTCTTTTTCCAAATGTAGGTTCTGAATTTTGATAAGCCACATTAATCAGCTCTTTAGTTTCCTTTTTGAGTTTTGATGGTCGGATCATAAATATGAGACTTCCATGAATCTCTGGTTACGTGTTCTATGCCGAAAGTTATATGAACATCAAGTGCATAATGCATAGCAAAAAGCGCTAGTCACTATCTGAATGGTGAGTATTACACCAATAATTTACGAGTGAATGAAGGGAGAGGAATTAGAATTTGAAAGAATTATCGAAATATCTCTGGTCGTTAAGATTGTCGAGAAAGGTCTTTTCTTTTAAAAATATTGAGGCACTTAAGGTTGTTTGCTTCTGAGAATTGGAAGGTAAAAGAGGAGGGTCATGGAATTAAGCGTTGATAATGTACCGTGAGTTGTCTTAACTCCACATAGAGAAAAGAATAAGGGGAAGGAGCTGAGGGAGAGGGATCCAAAACAGAAAGGGAAGGACATTTGATTGATCATCTCTACGGAAAGGGAGGGGAGAGCAGAAGGAGCAAGGATAGATTGTATAGAAAACAGCGGGTACGGGCACATCCACTACATTCGACCTGAGTTATACAACATAATTAAACTTTTTTAGAAATAGCATATTCATACTAAGCAAAACTTATTGTTTTCACAAGAGAAAAATAAATAGTGGATGCAGTATCACTCTGTATAAAAATCGCCTCAGAAGAAGAGCGTCAACTGAAGTTAAATGACAATTATGTTATCACTATTGCTTTAGCCTTTATGTGGAAGTATTCTTAAGAATGAGAAGCCTTTATCAATATGTCAACAAGTAGAGAATAGGTGACAATACTAGGAAAAGGTGAGGAATTCTGGCCATGAATGAGTAGGAACTATTGTCGTTTTTCTCAGGAGTGAAGGGAAAAGTTGAGGTTGAACTCTCTTGTTTAATATAGTATTATAGTGCAGATGGTTCTTGTTGATTCTTGCCAGGGTGACTTATTCGTTGGCTATTGACAGATAAGATCTAATGTATATCGGTTCAATGCAAACTTGGCTCATTAGCAGTGCCTTTTAGGATTTATCCCCAACGGTGTGTAAGCTTCGCTATTGGTAATGTTCCCCTCCAGTTTGGTATGATAAAGGGTGAAAACCCACCGAATATTGCATGAACTTAGAGGGGAGTCATAGGATTCGAGACGTAGCTCCCATTGCATACATGATATTCTGTCCCTTACAATGCATAACTCTAGGGTAACCCATTTGTATCCTTGTAATGCCTCAAGTTAGAGACTACAGTTGGTGTGGTAACTCGCTAGTTAACACAACAATTGTTATGCCTTGCTCCTAAGTCAGTTACATCCCCACTGTGCATAGTTTGCCTCCCAATGTGTCGAGACACCGAATCTCAGAAGCCATGTGGTGGTGTATAGGGTGCGACAGAGCACAATCTTGGTGTTTGTATGGGAACATTGTGGAAGGAGTGAATGAGAGTCTTTGAAATTAGTTTATTTCTCTTGTATAATTCCTAGTGTCTTTTATTCATTTCTTCCTCTCTGTCTCTTTAAATTTTGATTCTTCATGGCTAGCTATGCTTATAAAATATCATATATTTACCAACATGTTAAAAGGCAGTGGGCTCTCATTGGGCAATGGTATCCCAAAGCTTTACTCCCACTGGTCGCTCATTCCGTTCCCTGCATGTTTGTATCCCTCAATTAAGTGCTGCTTTTGTATGTCAATTTTATTACCTAAGGAAAATAAAGGTTAATTTGAGTTAATTTCCTATTATAGAGATTTACAAGTTACACCAAATGTTCAATTGCGAGTTAGATAAGGAATAAAGGTTAAAATGATAAAATCAATGTTATGATCTAAATCTGTACTGTAGTAAACCTTTATTTCTTAAGGTTAAAAATTTACCATTGCCGTAATTGATTTCTCCAAGAAAAGAATAGTTTTTCCAAAATTGTTCAATTTACAAGAATGTTGCCTTACCAATGAATATTTTTCCTAAAGTATCTTTAAAATAGTCAAATAATAGATTACTATCCAAAATTGAACTTCATAGGGGTTATGTTTCTTCTCGTAGGGCTTATGCCCCACAAATGCAGAGATACAATGCCTCCTGTTCTGTCTTCACCATTTAAGAGGGGAAGGGAGAGAGGTGAGCTAAATGTGAAGCATGCTCTGGTGGTTAATCAGAGAACTATTACATGCTGAGAACTATAAAAAAGAACTAGAAGCTCATGCACATGTTCATGTCATAGCTACTAAGATAAAATATATTGATATCTAGAAAGTGCAAATCAAAAGCCTCTTATATTTACACATTTAAGCTATATAACATACTTCTGCTGGCCTGTACTTCTATAATCCATCAACAACATTGTTAGACTAATGAAGATAGTTTCTTTAACGACACAGTCCAATAGACACCAGGAAGAACAATTGACACATGTTGCATATTCTATGACTCGAAATACTGAGAGAATGTAACAATTTTGTTTTCTTCCTTTTTGTGCCATCTCGTTCCTTTTCCTTTGCATTCATTGCGTCCTTAGGTTTCTTCCCTCTTTAAAAGCTAAATCCTTTGAGAAATCCATTGCCCTCCTCAAATTTTACCAGTTGATCTTCGTATGGAAGTTCATTACTTGTTCCCACTAGTTCTTTTGCCTTCAAGGATGCTCCTTCCCAGTCAGTACCGTAAGTAACTATTAACATTGAGATTACACATGCCACTTGAGCCGCTAGAAGCCCATAACAAAGACCCAAAAATCCTAGCTTCCAAACAAAGGCCAAAATAATGGCCACAGGTGTTCCCATCAGATAGAACGAGTAAAAGTTAATACCTGCACCAACACCAGGCCTAGCACTTCCCCGAAGCACCCCGCAACATGTAGTTTGTGGACAATTAGCTAGTTCACAAAGTCCAATAATGGGTAGAACGGTCCCTGTTAGCTCCAGCACTTCTCTATCTTTTGTAAAAACTTTTCCCCATGCTTCTCGGCCTAAGGTGGTCAGTAAGAATCCAAATGATGAAGTCAAAAAAGCTAGTCCTATGGCTATCCCTGTTGCCAAGCGGGCCTTAGCTGGCCGTCCTGCTCCAAGTTCGTTTCCTACCCTGCTTGAGACTGAAGCACTTAGGGCTGAAGGCAATGTGTACATGAGAGATGTGGTTTGTATTACAATAGAAGATGCGGCAAGTGGAACTTCAGGTCTGTCAAGGTATCCGGCTAGAACTGTCATGAACTCATACCACCACCACTCTAAGCAAACTGCTAAACAACTAGGTATAGCAAGTTGAAGAAGCATCATCCATTGCTCTCCCACAGAAATGGAAGGAAGAGGCTTTAGATTTTCTGCTAGGGGTTTGGACAGAGATTTGTTTTGGTCGTAAGTAAAGAATATCTTCTTTTGATCAAGACAAGTAAAGGATATATAGCCTAAAATGAAGAATAAGGTGATAAAGTTGGAGGCAAAGGTTGAAATTGCAATTCCTTGGATCCCAAGGCCTCTAGTAAAGGTCAGGTAAACTGTGATAGGGAAATGCAATAGTGTTGCAAGTGAAGTACACCACAATAGAGGCCATGTTGTCCCTTTACACCGTAAGTAGATGCGTAAAGGGTGAAGAAGGCTGTTAGCAATAAGATCTGGGACAGCAAATCTGCAAAATACACTTGCTACGTGTATTATTTGTGTGTCTTGGCGTAGCTTTAGCATGAGAGGCTCAAAATTAAACCATAAGAAGGCAATAGGTATAGATGCAGTGAATAACATAAAGATTGTCCTTTGGAGGGCAAGAGACACTATGGTTAAGTTTCTTGATCCAAAAGCCTGGCTACAAAGTGGTTCCATCCCCAAGGCTAGGCCAGACAATACGGAGTAACCAGTAATATTGGTGAAGCCAATGGCCAGTGCACCACCTGCCAGCTCTAAGCTTCCGAGCCTTCCCATGCACACAACTAAAATCATGTTTTTCAAATAAGTCGCCAAGCCCATAGCAAGTATAGGAAAGCCTCTATCCATTATTTTCTTCAATTCCTCCATGACCTAGAAATTGTGGGGAAAAAAATTGTTATGGTGATTCATACACATTTTTCTTGTCTATTCAAAGGTTCTAAAATATTCTGTAGTTTGTACCTCTGGTAATGCCGGGTGCTTTTTGGTCTGTTCTGTTTCCATCTTCTTTATTTTGCTTCTGCCTCTTTCCTCTTGTTTTCTTGTTTTGGAGCGTTACAGAGATAGCTTAACTGTGTATAAATCCTCTTTCTGCATGCAGTTCTGTATCCATGCACAAATACAACCAAACTTATGCACTATATATAGAGAGAGGGAGCAATAGAGAGAGAGAGAGAGGGAGAGGGAGAGGGAGAGGGAGAGGGAGATACTGAGAGACACTAACTTGAGTTTCCAGAAGCAAGGATATTTATAGGGGCTGGAGGTTGATTTGTGAGTTACTGGTTGTTGAAAGCTTACAACTGGAGTAACTATGTAAGAAGCACAGTGAATGTCATTTACATTGAGATATAAGGAGTGTTCCCCTGTGCCAACTGTAGTGACTACAGATATCCTCTTTCCAAAAATATAAGAACATATCCATTTCACAACAAATGTAATACCCACTTCCCCTCTTAAAGAACTATACTTAAATGTTATATTACTGATATATTCTGGCCTGAAGATGTTTTGATATTGAACTATAAATATGGTTCACGTATCTTTTGTTAATTACAGGTTCTTTCTTGTTATTCTTTCACCTTTGTATTTCATGTATTTCCACTTTCGTGTTGTATGTTGAACTGGTCAAGGGGCTTAAACTGTAGGGCCTTCGTCATATGCATTCAAGTTGTGCATTTTCAATATTACTTTTGGGAGGAAGCCACTAATGAGACATTCAAATTAGCGTCTCTAAACCACTTAGGACTCAATCCGAGTCAAATGATAGGGATATTCCATATGTAAAGCATAAATATGATTATTTTTCTATTTGTATAGTATGTCTTATGAAAAGCAAATCTGAAGTTAATGGTGTATACTCCTAGTATTCTGATTTTCTTTCCAAAATTATTGTGAATTGCAACCTTTAGTACAATGGAGTACGAAGTGGCCTAACTATTATTGTTCCTTTGATAATTAAAATTAGGTAATGCCTTTTCTCATGCTAATGATAGAATCTAAAGCTATTTAGTAGTGGTGGACCCAGGATTGAGCTCTTCTCACATGATAGTTGGTGTTTTTAGGCTAAGCAAAAACCTTCCAGTGATGTATTCTAGTGTATCCAAAAGATTTCAAGGCCAAACACCATTTTAAATAGTAGCACACCTCTTGTCCTGAAAAGTTAATACAACTGTCTTCTTTCAATTTCTTATCCTAATTTGAACATGCTTTTAGTTTCCCCGCCCACTTTGGTTAACATAGCTCCTGCGTATAACAAAGTGTAACAACCTGCCTCCCCTTTGCTTAGTTAGTTATTTTTGGACTCTAGTTGTGTAAGGTAGTTTTCCTCTACTTCATTGTGTCTTTAGTAGGGGTACATGCTTTTGTGCACCAGATGACGTGGAGCTCTGTGGTTTACTGTGCATTCTTGCTTTTGTGTTTGTACCTGTCTTATGTCTTCAATCCACTAAATTTTGCCCTGTACAACAGGTTACATGAGGGACATTTCACCTTATGCTCAATGCTTATCTTGTTCAAACCTCAGCAGTTACTAAGGAACATGCATTTGAATGGAGGAAAAAGAATAATTTGCATGTTTTCTCTCTTCCAGATCAAAGCTCTCCATCTCCTTTTCACAAAATAGCATTAGGAAAAAGGTATTGTCCATAAATCTCTCTGTGTGGATTTGATAGACGCTCTTTCACCAGCGACCTAAAGTTTTCTTTACAGTGTTATTGTCCTCAGATCACTAAGGTATTGTAGGAGAAATTCTTTTTCAGGAAAAAAGGTATTCTAGGAGAAACCTCCTTTATCTCCACATCTGTGTGGTAATATTGATTAAAAGTAATTAAGTCATTTGAATTGAAAGTAATGTTGTCAGATTGTGATGAAACCATGCATGTGCAGTTTGGTTGCACCTCTGGCAAATGACTACTTATCAATAATCATTGCACCTTCTTCATAATAGTGACAACAAATTGCATTTCAAGCACCATTTCTTTCTCTCTCTCCATTTCATTAAAGATAAGAAGAGAATATTCATTTAGCACCAAAATACCATTTCCAACAGCTAGTATGGTATGGTTGTTGAGAGAAACCAGTACTGTCTTATACGGTGACTTCTCCTGCTTTTATGCTGCTAAATGCCTGCACATTTTGGTCCCAAAGTTTGAAGCATTGTATCATAAGAAGTCAAACAACCAACAACGTTTTGATAGGAGGATTTCCATCAATTTCATTTGTCTGAGAAGTTGAAAAAACCATAACGTTTTGATAGGAGGATTGATGTTCTGCACTAACCACCAAATGGGTCTTATGTTGCTTCTGTCTGAAAGTTTAAGCAACTATCTCTACAACTTATGCAAACGTTTTGACATTTGACCAATGCCTTTGTTCCTTGCCCCACAGATTCTTTGGTTGTCTTCTTTTCTCCGCCCTTTTTGACAAGCGAAAACAGAACTTGATTATGTTATCTAATCATAATAAACAAATTATAACCTATAGTTTGTGAAGAAACTGTACATAATTAAAGTCAAAATTAACAGCCAAAAGAGAGATTTTGTGGATCTTTGTGTCATAATCCTCTCCTATGGCCCATTGAGCATGATTTTTCTTACTAGATATAGCACTAATTTCCAGGCTAATTAGTCAAAACTTTCTCTCATTAGCGTTATAAACCGCAAGTATGACTGTTATTTACAGAAAGCATCTTTAGATAGGAAAATCTGTTAGTGGAAAGAATCTCCCATTACTAAGATTGCCCACATCATTTCGTCTCTTCACATCATGAAAGGGATATTGTTATCGTCAAAGCTTAAAAAGATAAATAAATTGACCATTATTGTTCAACTCTTTCCCCTGTACCACATCCTTGCACATGAGAGGATTACGAGCATCTTGTATAACTATGAACACGTTCAAGAAAGTGGACTATGTCATGTTACATAATCAAAAGGTTTGACTTAGATTGTTGAAAATTTTAAGTTGATAGTGACAAAATTCATTTGGTATATACTTAAATCCTGAAATTGTAGATTATCTTAGGCTGTTTTCTCGAGATTTTATTTTGAACTGTGAATTTGCCACTTGATATTCCAATTGATATGATGTAAACAGAAGCCTAAAAATCAGTATTTTTGGTGTAGAATCAAGTTGCTTTTCAATAGTATATCAAGAGTTTAAGACAGTGACAACTGGATCTTTACGCCCAAAAGATTCCCAAGAATGCCAAATCTTTACAGATTACAAAATCCAAAAGTTGGCAAAGAGGTATGTGAAGTTGCATTCACCTCTAAGGGCTGAATTCGAAAATTTTCTTCTTATTTTTTCTCTCCATTGCTTACAATAGTCCACCTAATAACCTTTCTATTAGAAATGTTATTTAAAGAAAAATAAAATTGTAATTCGAGTGCAAGTTAAGTAAAGTTGCCAAAGGCAGTGGTATCATTACCTTCCGCCTGGCATTCATTTTATAAGTTTCTTTTTTTTTTTTTAGTTCTTAAATAATTCACATAAAGAGAGAAAAATATCCTTAGCACTTTGTAGAATTTAGATCTACTTCTAATCGATTTGACATTAGTCTAAAAAATGTGTATACTTTTATCCTTCCGTTTTGCATCCATAGAAATGCATGTGCACTTGACTAAAATGTTTCTTGGAGACTTGAAGGTACGTCGATGTAATGTAACCATGATCACTTTTAGACTCATTCTTTATTTCCCATGTTACATTCGATAAGATAACGTTGCGCTGCCTTAAAAATAAAAAATGAGGTAGGAAGAATTTCCTATCTGATTTGATTAGGAAATAATTGGGAAATTGAATGCATCGAGCTTCCATTCGTGAAAATTCTTTTTGATATTGGGTGGTGGTGAGACTCGACCCCAGGACCTGTGCCTACTCTGGTAGGATATTGAAGTGTGTGACCATCTCATCTAAAAACTTAATTGGGAAATTGAATGCATCGAGCTTCCATTAGTGAAAAGTCTTTTTGATATTGGGTGGCTGTCGACCCCAGGACATGTGCCTACTCTGGTGCCATATTGAAGTGTGTGGCCATCTCATCTAAAAACTTAAGTTGCTAGAGAAAACACACTTTTTATTTACTTAATTATGTTTGCAACATGTATGATTAATTTATTAAATTATATTGACTCCGCATGTGAGAAGAGTTAAATATAATGGGATTCTACTTTATCGACATGTTATGGGTTCATACAAGTTCGGTATTTCCAAATGGAACATAAATGTAGATCGTAATGCGAAAAATCACCAAAATTCTACAAATGAACCAATAATTTTTGAAAAACAATACGTTTCGTGCTAAATATTTTAAAAGTTGAATCCCTTTAGGTTAAATGCTAAATTCGTCTTTGAATGCGCTTGTCCATATGGGAGTTTTGAAGTTATTATGTGAAACGCGTCGTGCATGTAATTTAATAAAAAAAATGGTCCTTAATTAATTATTAGTCCACGTGAGAAAGGTAGAACAGTGTTTGGAGATGGAACCGAATGTTTCAATTGGGAGAAGAGCAGCGTATAAGAAAACTCTGCCAACCCTATCACTTGCCTTCTCTAGAAATATATGAAAATAAAATCAGATTTTCATTTGTTCTGGAATAAAATATAAAAAGAAAGAAAAAAAAAAAGAAAGATAGAAAACTTAACCGAAATCTAAATCGTATCAAATAACAACACAAGAAAAGAGATGTGCTCCTGTAGATGCAACGAAGCAAGAAAAATAGATTAATTATTCTGTTTTCTTGAACCAAAACATTGTGCATGTTTTCGAGTGGGTTATGCATGTTATTTCAATGCCATTTGCTTCAACTGTTAGGCCAAAGTTGATTGACCTTATTGGTGCAATAGTGCTTTGATAGAAGAGAAGGGGCCATCTGAAATGAGAATTAAGTTGTTGGTCCTGGCATGGGAGGGTGTGGGTGTTAGGGTGCCAGAAGTTGTAGCAGAGTGGTAATTAAGTGCTTTTCGATTCTTAACCAGAGGTCTCGTGTTCAAGTTTTGGATATGAAGTTTGTCTTTGGTAAGGAGCGATTCACCCTTTAAAGTGGGACTTTCTGACACGAATCAGGATTAGTCGGGGCCCACTGTAGGTAACGAACACCCGATGAGAAACCAGAAAAAGATGTTAGAATGTTAGAAGACGAGTACATGTGAAAGATCAAAAAATTGAGAGCCAAATTAAGAAGAACATGAGGCAGAATCAACATGTGAAAAAGAGGGAGTGTGACATGACATTGGCCTAATTTGCCACCACCTTACCATTGCGAATATTTATTTCCATGGGAAATAGGCACACATTTTTCACTTGTAACATGAGTTGGATAAACTTGGGCAAAGAAAGCTTAGCTGTTAGTACTACTTTTACTTAAAATGGGGTAT